CGGTGCTCATCTCCGTTTCAAAGCCGAAGAGCCAGCGCTGTCCGAAGACATTTCCGGGGTCATGTGGCCGGCATGACTAAACACCAAGGCGCATGGAATGCTTTTACCTTCCCACTGAAGTGGTACCTATTCATCTACTTGCAATTTCTTGCTTTCGAACTGCTAGGTTGGCAGGAACTGGAACTAGAGACGGGAGCTCACTCTGACATGCGGCACACTCGGGTCTCAGTCTGCAGTTCAGCGTCTTAAACACCGCAGCGCAACATGATTACCTTGATTAAAAGCACTTTTGTGAAGAATTTGTGAAGAAAACGTAAGAATTTTTTATAGTACAGACACTTTCCACGTAATCTGGACCAGAGAGATCAAAACTTCCCTCCAGACATAACTTCATTTGTTAAATGTCTACATGCTTTCTTTTCAAGCAACACTCTGTCACACAGTGGCCAAAAATACCAGGTGCCCTCAGGAGGTCCAGCAGTGGGGCCAGGACACTAGAAGCCCTCCCACTATTGACCCCCCCCCCAAACACCAAGAATACAGAGCATCATTTGCCCCAGATTGAGAGTTCCTATCTATACGTTGTGGCTAATAGCCACTGATGGACCTCTGCTCCAATCAAACAAAAGCTCCAATCAGAAGGAACATGATTAGTGGGACTGAGAATAACAAGAAGAGATTTGAGGGGTGGGGGTTCTGTTTCCAGGTAAAGAGCTCCCAGCCTCGTTCTGGACCCCATCCTCTGATTGACACAACTTTTGCTGCAGGCCCAACTTTTGATCCACATAGGGATCAAATGCACCCCTGAAAATGGCCCATTCGGGCTCCTTTCGGGCTGCTGCAGGCCAATTCAGATTCTCTGATCTAAATTGGCATCATAACTTTTTTCCCACCATAGAGAACAATGGAGGGGATAGGGGCAACCTGTTTGGGGGCCCATAGAATTGGACCCCCTGGTCCGATATTCTTGAAACTTGATGGGTATCTTGGGGAGAGGCTCCAGCAGCTACCCTGCACGATTGGAGCCTCTCCCTCAAACCCCCTCTCCTCCAGCCCCCAGAATATACCCTATGTTTTCGCCATTGACTTTAATGGCGCACAGGATATAATGGGGCCGAAATTGACATTCGCTGGACAAAAGACTCCCCAATGAGCTCATACTGCCGAAACTGACATGCAGGAGTCTTTCTGCCAGCCATAATTGATTCTGCCCAATTTGGCCAAATCCGAATCGGGCCAAATTTTTTTCTTTTTTTTGTACACCCCTAGATTCACATCTCTCTCTCTATAAAAATATCTAGTGATTGTTCTGGGATCCCATGGTTGCCTAGCAAGGAAGATCATTTGTAGGTAAGAATCAGTGGGGTGAGAAGAATAGGTACTTACACTTTCCCGTGTATATATCCCCTTCCATTTTAACCCCCAGGCAGGCTTCAAGACAAGAAATAAGCTTGATGCGGGGAGGGGAAATGGGCAGGAAGGAGCATTTGCAGGGGAGAGTTGGTGGGCACAGGGTTGGTCCCTGCTGCCACACCCCCATCCCTAAGCTTGCGCTGTTCCTGGCTCTGTCCCCAGGTCCTCCCTGTGTCCAGAAAAACTAGATGTGTACCAGGAGCTGCAGGCTGGGATGTACATTCTTAGGTGTGTGCAGGCTGATTCACCCGGGGACCAGAGCAACATAAGGCTCGATCTCCCCCCCCCCCACACGTGCTTTATCCTGACCTGAAATGGACCCAGGGAGCTGCTTAGTTGCCTTGCTGGGGAACCGGATATGTGCCGATGGGCTGTACTCTGCTTCAGGGTACAAGTGGCCCCAGGTTCAGTCCAAAGATAGGTGATGTGAAAGACCTCTGCCTGAAAACTGCCAGCCTGCACATACAATACTGACTTGGATGGACCAAGGGTCTGATTCAGTCCGAGGTAGGTTCATGATCCTGAGCGCTTCTCCTGTCCTGCCTGGAAAAAGAAGCCCTGGTGGGAAAGAGATGTGGCAATAACAAAGTTCTGGCAGTCAAAACTCACAGCGGCAACTGTTAGGGAGAGAGAGAGAGGCTTTCATGCATACATTTGTAGCATGTGTAAAATATAAAGCAGCCCCCCAGGGTAAAGCAGGAACGTTTTAGGCCCCAGGGTTCTTTTCTGGCAGCGATCCAAACAACCGCAACCAGACTGAAGAGCCGTGTCACCACCTTCAGCGGAATTGTCAGTTTTTAGAAAAGATTTGGCTCCACGCAGCTTTTCAGCACTTGCCATCCTCTGTGGCCCACCCCTTGTATGAGGGCACGTCACATGCCTGAGGGTATCAGAAAGGGAGCAAAGGCTTGACTGAACTCGCAGGTCAAACCACACAGTCTGAACGGTTCGGTTCACCTGAAATGCTTTGAAATCTGTTCTAAAAGCTGCTGATCTCAAGAACACACCTTCAGAAGTGCTGCTCGGGTGAGTGATCGCAAAGAGACAGATTCTGACTTCTAAACAAAAGTTACAGTTCTATATAACACTTTTTAATTGCCAACTTTTTCAGAAACCTGTTTGGAAATTTTAAGCGTGCCAAGATTACCGCTCATTAAGAACTAATTGGCTGTGCAGCATGAGGCCTTTGATTTAGCTCACGGATCCTGCATTCTCTTTTACTTGTAGCTTGTCATCTGCCTTGAAACACTGAGATACTGGAATGACATGACGGGCCGACACAAACCTACATCAAAAACAGCAGCCTTCACATGGCAAGCGCACACGGCCACCTTCAGATCAGATGGATTCATCTCTGCAAGTGAGCTCAGCGGAAACTGGCTCTGCAGGACTGCAGGAGCTGACGCCGCACAGTGCTGATTGGCTGCTAACTGTGTCATCATAACACCCCATCCCATGCTCAGAACCATTTTTACCGTCTGAAGAATAGCTTCTTTAAAAATAAAGAGATGCAAAATGAACTTTAAATTGCATAATTGTACAGCTTGTACTTTGTTGTTCAGTCGCACGGTCGAATCCGACTCTTCACGACCCCAGGGACCACATCACATCAGGCCCTCCTGTCTTCCATCATGTTCGAGTTCGCTTAATTTCATGTTTGTTGCATCGATAACACTGTCTAACCATCCCATCCTTTGCTGTCCCCGTCTTCTTTGACCTTCAATCCTTCCCATTGTCAGGGTCTTTTCCAGTGAGTGCTCCCTTCTCATTTGGTGGCCAAAGTATTTCTTTAGAAAGAGATTAAAGCAATGGACAGGAAAGTCACCAGAACTGGGAGGTGGGGAGGCAGCAACAAAGAGTTACCGATCAGTATGTATGTCAATCAAAATGGAAGAGAAAGCTACACTTCACAGTACAGGAGAGAAAAATCTCGTGGAGACTATACTGTCCTGACATGCCTTTGTTCAGAAAACTTAGTAGGCATTCTGTCTTGGATATGATAGTCTACAAAAGAGAAGAGATTGGATTTATACCCCGCTCTTCACTACCCAAAGGTGTCTCAGAGCAGCTTACAAACTCCTTTCCCTTCCCCTCCCCCTCCTCACAACAGACACCCTGTGAGGTAGGTGGGACTGAGAGAGCTCTGGCAGAAACTGCTCTTTTTCGAGAGCAGCTCTTATCAGAACTACGGCTTGCCCAAGGTCGTCCAGTCAGGTGCAAGTGGAGGAGTGGGGAATCAAACCCGGTTCTCCCAGATTAGAGTCTGCGCACTTAACCACTACACCAAACTGGCATGTTTTAGGGCACAAGAAAACATGCCCCATGCCACCTGCCGTGAATATTTTAGGGTGAAAGTCACCGTATATGTCGAGTAGACCATTTTAATTCCGAGTTGAACACACCAGCTGAGTCCCTACATCTGCATTCAAGGAGGGCAGGAAAGACGGAAAATGATGACATTTTCCCCTTGAGTCCTGCACTGAAGCTCGATTACACGGCTGACATATTTTAACATATTTGCAAACTGAAGATCAGGGGTGTCGAACTCATTTGTTATGAGGGCTGGATCTGACATAAATGAGACATTGTTGGGGTGGGCCGTGTATGTCATAAAATGTAATGCCAGGTAGTGGAGATATAAACTTTATAAAGGACACAAACACAAAGGGCTTTTTTTTACTTAAAATAAAAACATGCTTAAAACATTAGCACTCTCGCAATATTTTGTTTATTTAACAGTGTCTGATAACTGACCCCTCTTGCTCTGAATTATTGCATCAAAATGTCTGTGCTGTTGCAATCCTGAGTATGCTGTTCAGGTGTAAATCTGTAAGCTGCAAACCTACGATGATGCAGTGGCAACAGAACTGGAAACAGCAGCAGAAGAGTTTGATCCGGCCCCCGGGCCACATGTTTGACACCTGTTGAAGATGGGGATTTATTTGTTACCCCTTATTTGGGGGGGGGGACTGAATGAACGGACACCTCTCTTCCTGAAGTCTTAGGATTTTAAACGGAAGGAAGGCACCTATTAAAGATATGGGGTTTTAAGCACTTGTTTTGTTCAAAAAAACACATGCTCCAAAGTGCGGTGGGTCATGAACAGCTAATATAAACAATTTCCATCATTCCTAAGCAGGTCCTCAAACTATGAGCCTTCTGGAAAATTAGTCCTTTGAGCCCTGTCCCTCCATGCATCTTCCCTCTGACAGACTACACCCTTCCAAAACCAACTTTCAGGATGCTGATTGAATCCTTGAAACGGCATCCAACCAGCATTTAGACAAAAAATAAAATAAAAAATTACACCAGCATCATCAAAGCACACCCAAAAAAGCAGAAAGTATATTTAAACATCTTCAGAAGATTTAAAAAAAAAATAACACAAGGACAACAAGGGTATTTGCAAAAAACACCAAGTCTATATTTACATCCACATGTAATAACAGTATTCCGCTAAACTGAAAACACATCATAAATTAAATGACTTGTATGGTGTCTACAGCTTGACAACTTAAAGGTTTCACAATTAAAATAAATCAAAGTGGAAGGAAATAAATATAACAAAGCAACAACTTGTACCGGTATACTTATTGCCAGTGGAAATAAGGGGGGGGGGGGACCAGTAGTATCCCATAGTTAATACTGATGGGCAAAACCTACCCTGGAGACCAAGGGTGCAACCTTCAAAGCATTCCCCCAGCAAATCCCCCATTCTCTTTCGCTGGACTGCCAGAGCAATCCCATGCAGAAATGTCCAGGTGGAATGGGCCACGGGGCTGGAGGCAAGGGCCCCTTTGCGTGTTACCCGCACAGTGTGGGATTTGCTGCCTCTTGCACTGTGAAAGCAACATCAGAAATGTTGGGCTGCACAAGGGGAGCCCGTGCTATAGCTCCTCCAGTCCCACCGCATCACCCCCCTAGGAATCTGGTGTAATGCTGGCACGACAAGGAGCCTGAGCTTTGGGCGTTTACTTTTACAGGGCAAGAAGGAACTGCTGCCAGACTGGCTCTCGCCACACACCAAACAGGAGTTGGAAGAAGAGTCCCAAAGTCATGTTCGGAAGCCACAGACTGTATTCTTCTTTGCTCCTTTCCCAGGGAAAAAAACCCACCCAAAAGCTTCTGAAAAAACGGCACCAACACAAACAGGAGATTGTTTTAAAAAACTGGTTTGGTGATGTTAATTAAACACAGACCCTGGTCTTTTATTTTTATTATTTTTTTTAGACGTTACTTTCAAAAGGAACAGAACAGGCAAGTTACAGAACACATTCGACGTAAGCCTCAAAGGATCGGCAAAAATAGATTTAACCATCTTCCATGAGAATTCATCTTTGAAAAATAGGCTACAAAAAGTGCAAAACTAGGAAAACACATCTAGATTTTTATGTACATATGGCTCAGCTTATGAACAGGAAAGGGGGGAAACTGTGTACAATTTCCTGATACGCAGCACTTCATGACATTGCCAGTTTTATAGAGACATCAAATTATATATTCCTTAATACACAGGAAGTGAGACATAACGTTTTAAAATGTCTCCACATTGCATACTTGGGGGGGGGGAGAGGACAAACCTCCAGGGACATCTATGCTTTGCTATTTTACAACTGATACAAAGGAAAGAAACAGTGCAAAATATATATATTTTTTTAGACCGTTTTGTCCTGGGACACGTGGAAGTCAAAATCTCTCCCCCCCCCCCCAATACTTCTTTTAAGTTGTCATTAGGAGCTTCCACACACAAGTTGTTCAAAACACAACAGTATGGCTGGGAGGGGTCAAGTCTCCTATTCAATATTCAGTCACACGCAGCAGGGTTATTTTTTCCCCTCTGACAAGTAACTGATATTTGATAAAGGTATCAAAATCATCTGGGGCAGGACCTATCCCCTTATTATATGTGCAGCTCACAAACCCAGATGTGCGGGATGGGATTCTCATCAGGAAACCATGAGACCCTCCCACCTGTCCAGCCAGTAGTCTGGGCTGATACAAAACTGAAGCGTCCTGATTGCTGACCTGCCAATGGGAATGCTCTGATGAGCGGCCTACATTGAGGAGGAATGGAGTTTGTTGGGCCACGTGCCTCCCACTGAAGGCGTGGTCGTATGCCCAGTGCTAAACACACTCAGGCTTGGGGAAGGAACAGAGATGGTGGCTGCATGACCCTTTGGGCAACTTGCAAAGGGGAATGGGTTGTGCCCTTAGTTTGCTTGCCGGATATTTACGGGTTCCCCTATCAACAAGGTTCAGTAGAGCAGGAACTTTCACTGAACATTCCAGTATAAGCTTTAGGACACTTGTGGGCCATGTGCAGGTAGCTGAATATTTAGGGAGAGGTGACAAATTAAATGTGTGCCATGTGAAACTCTCCAGAACACCTAGAGGCTAGAGAGCATTCAACTGAACACCCTCAAAGCTCACACTGTAAGGAAAGGACTGAGACCAGATGGCAAAAGTTGGAGGGGGGGGGGAGATCCTCCTTCCCAGTTTACAGAAAAGCACTCTGAACTTCATTTTGAGAGCGGATTATTCAGGAATCAACATCAGTTTGAGGAAGTAAAACAAGAGCGTATCGTCCTTATTTGGTGTCAACATCCCTGACCTGCTCTGGAGTACTGTAACTGTGCATAAGGTGAACGTAAAGTACATAATTGATCTGGAAACTGTTTAAAAATATACATAGTTTAAAGCACAAAGCAAAATCTGACAGTTACCCTTTATTTTTAAAAATGCCTCCCAGTATGGAAACCAGAGAGACTCAATGCAAATTTACCTGAGGTGCAAAGGTTACACACAGCTTCCCCCCCCAAAAAAAAGTGGATCTCTCCTCAGCAGCACTCAAGTTATGCAAAAATATAGTTTATGCTGAATATTTGGTCTATGATCATTCTAAGAAAAATATTATTTAAGATCAGCAGAATTGATACACCCATTTTCCAGTTCTCTGACACAATTCCAGACAGCCATGTTTACATCCACATGGTACAAATGGGATCACGCCTTCCATTACAGCACTGTAGTGTTTTTCTCTCTATACATAGTACAATCACAGTTTAATTCTGTAGCTTTCGCCGCCGATTCTCCTCCAGGACTGCACTGAGAAGAACTCCAAAGTTGCAGCCGTTTATCTGGAACACACAACCAAGAAGGCAATGAATTTTAACAGCTGCGTGGAACAGCTCAGATTAATAAAAGATTTTTTTTTGATGTTTCTGTAGAGTCTGCTACAATACAATCCTAAACAGACTAGCACCATTCTAAGCCCACTGGTATCAATGGACTTAAAAGGGTGTGACTCTTAGGATTGCACTGTAAGAATACTTTCATAGACAACTCATGCTAAACAGTATTCAGCCATAAAGCTCATTATATGGTTTTTGCTCCAGCACTCTCTCTTGGCCTAGTCTACGTCACAGGAAAGGAAGGACCATGTAAGTGGCCGGGGTCTCCTTGGAAGAAGGGGGAAAGGCTGGGGCTTAGGGACAGAGCATAAGCTTGGCATGCAGAAGGTCACAGGGTCGATCCCCGGCATCTCCAGTGAACAGGAAGACGTAGTAGGTCATTTGAAAGACCTCCACCTGAGACCCTGGAGAGCTGCTGCCAGTCTGAGTAGACAGTACTGACTCTGATGGAGTCCCAGGGGTCTGATTCAGTAGAAGGCAGCTTCACATGTTCAAGGGCGAGATAAAAATGTGGCAGAAAATAGGAGGGAAAAAGCCATGCACCAGTTCTATTTTCTAGAAGTCTGCTTTTACGTTTCTATCCTACCCTTCCTTCAAAAAGCTTATGCCGACTTAGGCCTGCCCCTCATTTTGTCCTGGCAACAACCCTGCAAAGTAGCTTGGGCAGAGAGAGGATGACTGACCTCAAGTCACTGAATGAGCTTCATGGGTGAGTGGGGATTGGGGCTGTGGAGACAGGCCCTAGTTTATCTGGCACAGGGCCTGGAGTCTCCGTGAGAAAGGGGAGCTACAAACTAAGCAAAGAATTATATCTGGGAAAGATCAGTGAGCTGAACATCTAGATAATCTACTGCATGCACTCCTATGGTACTGCCATCGCTATGAACTTAAACCAACACTGCTAGCACTTTATAATACTGTACTGTTTTTATAATGAACTGTTTTTAGATGTTTTTATGGTAATTTGTTATTTATGTATTTGCTTTTATGTAAGCCGCCTCGGCGAGGAGGGCGGGGTATTAATTCATCAATTAATTAAATAAATAATAAACTGCACTGGCTCGAGCTATACTCTTGAGGGCCAACCGATACATTACGAGCCACAAGGCCTCTCCCTAAAACAGCACCCCACAGTTGATTTCTCTCCTACGAGTCACAGGCATATTTAATCAGAGCTACCGCGTCGTCCCCCAAGAGTGTCTCACCACCCCACCAATGGCAGCTGATGATTCCAAGATAGAGAATACAGACTTGCATTTTCCCCCCTACAGCTCCAAGGTCCCAAGTTCCAAGTTGCAGCTTTAACCACAAAACCAATCCCATATAGCTTGAACACAAGACATGCTTATGTTACACAGTCAAACAAGGCAAAAGGAAAGCAGAGTTAGCTAATTAGATAAGGAACCAGGTCCTGAAAAAACTTCCAAGTATAAAGCATCTTTATACCTTCTGATAGATATCAGTGACAAATCACTGACAATGTTTAAGGTGTAAGGGACAAGTCAAGGTAGACAGCACTACAGGGCAAGGCCAGAACTCTAAAGACATTTAGGTGGGTAGCTCCTGTTGATCTGAAGCAACGGAACAAAGTCTGAGTCCAGGGGCACCTTTAAGACCAGCAAAGTTACTACTGTGGTGGAATTGTAGTAAAATGCAAAAATACTGGAAAATGGTACATAATGTTATTTTAGAGATACTAAATCTAGATGTTTTGTTAGCACCTGAAATTTATCAGACCAGCAAAGTTTAATTCTGGGTATAAGCTTTTGTGTGCATGCACGCTTCTTCACTGTATAAGCTTTTGTGTGCATGCATGCTTCTTCACTGTATAAGCTTCTGTGTGCATGCACGTTTCTTCACTGTATAAGCTTTTGTGTGCATGCATGCTTCTTCACTGTATAAGCTTCTGTGTGCATGCACGTTTCTTCACTGTATAAGCTTTTGTGTGCATGCATGCTTCTTCACTGTATAAGCTTCTGTGTGCATGCACGTTTCTTCACTGTATAAGCTTTTGTGTGCATGCATGCTTCTTCACTGTATAAGCTTCTGTGTGCATGCACGTTTCTTCACTGTATAAGCTTTTGTGTGCATGCACATGAAAGCTTATACCCAGAATTAAACTTTGCTGGTCTTAAAGGTGCCACTGGACTCAAACTTTATTCTAAAGCCATTTGTTTGCTAGGAGCCCAATCAAAGTTTTTAGGAGTGCAGATCCATGTTTGCCTAAAAGCAGCAAACTGTACACTTCAAGGGGTTAACAAACTTGCAGTCTGCTTAGCTGCATCCTACGAACATAGTTTTTTTATAATTCTGACCACTGGTAAGTATATAATGCCTCTTTATTCTTCCAGAATAAAGAGGTTTAGTAGATAATCAACAAGTAACATGACATGTCTTTATACTCCTTATGCTGGATTTGCCAAAATCAACAGTCAAGGATTTTATTTATTGGGTCTTTTTTAAAATGTAGCTTACCATTCATTCAAGCCAAATCATGTTTTCTTGTCATTCGGCCGATAATGTGCATTACCAAGAAGGCTCTCATAACTTCGCTTTTGTAGCATGATGGTGGAAAAGTGTTGATAGGACACTGGCCTTTTTCCTAGACGGGGAAAAAGCAATCATTGGGAGACATTATGAAGAATACTTGCAACAATCACAACGCTTATCCTAACAAAGTCCTGGAAGTGATTCAGGGACTTTTGCCCACCATTGCTCAAGCTCAGAATGTGCCTCCTCTTGCATCGACGTAAAAGATTACTTGCAACAGAGCGGTGAAACATCTTATCAACAAACGTTTAGAAGCATAACATGGTGAACTATCACAAATCAGAACATGCCTTCAGATGAGAACATACACCGTCTGCCCCAAAGAAACACGCAGACCGGGTCCCACAGAATAATGATCTCATGGAATCTACGCTTTCCAGAAGATCATGGTACGAAAGCTTAAGGCTTATTTTCCCTTTTACAGCTCCATGTGCTTCACGGCCCTGCCGGATCAGACCGGCAGTCCATCTAGTCCAGCATTCTGTTTCACACAGCGGCCACACCGGTCGCCCTGGAGGGCCGGTCACCCTGGAGGGCCAAACAAACAAGGGCATACAGTTCACGGCGTTCCCCTGGTGCTGCTACCTTTTAGATCTAGCATTCAGAAGTTTACTGCCTCTGTCTGTGGATGTTCCCTTTACTCACCGTGGCTAGTAGCCACTGACAGGCCTATCCTCCATGAATCTGTCTAACCCCCTTTTAAAGCTATCTATGCTCATGGCTATCCACAACTTTCATTTCCAGGAGAGAGACAATTTGTTAATTTTATGCCCAGCCTCAGAATTTTATACCCCACTGAGGCCCTGTCCCCCCCAAATCTTCAGACCCCCCCCTCAATTCCCACTGGGATTTGCAACCCTAATCCTAGAAGATATGGGACTGGTGCAAGCAGCCATCGAGCCCAAGCCTGGGCCGGAGGCAAAAAATTGTCTCGGGCAGATGTTTTGTCCCAACTTTTATTTGCCTCACAATCTGCAATCTATATTTACACCATAAAAAAGAAACGAAACAAAGGCATTTGCATCACACTCCAGTATACATGAATGCCAAAGTCAAGCAGAAGGGCAGACTCAGGTGAGTACAACATGAGCACGGCAGTTCTTACATGATCCTGCCCCACCTAGGTGTTTTCTGCATTCCTAGGTCACTGGGAGGAACACAGCATGGAGCCATGGAACAGCAGACACTTGATCACTCCTGTGACACAAGAACTAACTCTAGGACAGGCCTCCAGCGAGTTTCTGTTCTGGCAGAAACCAAGCCAGGGGTGCAAATGCCACAGGACCAACCCGTGGAAACACTTTGTTAGGACCGCATGCCGCTTTTCTCTGATCTCCTAATGTTATGTAAATTGCAAGGCTATGGAGGGCTATTCCTTCCCAACACAAGAGAGCTTTGACTCTCAAAAGCTTATCACAGCCTATTGGAAAACCCCAAAGGGGCCTTCCGTAGATGCCTGGTTTGGCAAAATTTGGGATGTTTATATCACAGGGAAAACAAGTAAACAATTCTTTCTTTGTTGGTTCCCAGTTGTCTATTTCACCCTATGATTATGATGAAATCTGGAAGCCAGTTATTGGATTTCTGAGACACAATGAAGTTCTTCCGTTTAGAAATGATTATAGAATCTGGTTAAAATTGTAAGGTTATTGCAAACATGTGTCAATATGAGTTGTCATGTGGGTGTACAAAAATTGTATGAAAATTTAAGTTTACCCTAGGTTTTCTGGGAGTATCTACTGGTAGATAATGTGCTGAAATATATATACAGAGAGAGAGAGTGAGAGCGTGCACTTATACTCTGGAACTCTTGTTGGTCTTTATATAAGAACATAAGAGAAAACAATGTTGGATCAGGCCAAAGGCCCATCCAGTCCAACGCTCTGTATCACACAGTGGCCAGAAATACCAGGTGCCATCAGGAGGTCCACCAGTGGGGCCAGGACATTAGAAGCCCTCCCAATGTTGACCCCCTCCCCAAGCACCAAGAATACAGAGCATCACTTGTCCCAGCCTGAGAGTTCCTATCTATAACTTATGGCTAATAGCCACTGGTGGACTTCTGCTCCATATGCTTATCGAATTCCCTCTTTAAGCTGTCCATGCTTGTAGCCGCCACCAACTCCTATGGCAGTGAATTCCATGTGTTAATCACTCTTTGGGTGAAGAAGTACTTCCTTTTATCCGTTCTAACCCAACTGCTCAGCAATTTCATGGAGTGCCCACGAGTTCTTGTATTGTGAGAAAGGGAGAAAAGTACTTCTTTCTCTACCTGCTCTGTCCCATGCATAATTTTGTAAACCTCGATCATGTCACCCCTCAGCCGTCATTTCTCCAAGCTAAAGAGCCCCAAGCGCTCTAACCTTTCTTCACAGGGAAAGTGTTCCAACCCTTTTATCATTCTAGTTGCCCTTTTCTGCACTTTTTCCAATGCTATAATATCCTTTTTGAGGTGTGGTGAGTCACCAGTGCTACTGGACTCCACTCTTGCTCTTCTACTGTAGACCAACATGGCTACTCACCTGAAACCTTTCCTTCTCTTAACTATGCACCCATACAACACACACAACTTCCCAAGGCCAGCTAAACATGGAAGTGACCGCATGAGAGACACAGAGGACAGATCCCAGGAGACAGCTGCAGTTAGCTGTTGTGCCATGGAAATCATAGAGTTGGAACAGGCCATCCAGGCCAACCCCCTGCTCAGTGCAGCACAGCACCAAGCCCCCTGCTGGCCCTAGGCCCTCGAAAAAGCAGAAAAGCTGAGCCAGGGATGAGGGACCTCTCCCTAATCGTTTTTATTCCCAACGGGCAGTGTGGGACCCCATGACACTGCAGCGCCAAGCCAAGCAGGTGGGGAAATGATCAGAGCCTGGCTAAGCACACGTGCCTATCTGATTCTGCATCTAGGCTGCCTCCGTGGGAGATGAACGGGATCCCCACAAAGAGCTTTCTGAAAGGACAGGATAAGAACATAGTAAAACAGCACTGCCTGTATACTGTGCAACTGGTCCGTGACAGGATACCAGTTCTTTGTTGTTAGGTGATGTAAGGATTTAACTAGGAGATACAAAGTCTGAAGACCGTGAGTGCTCTAGTATCTGGGAGCTGGATTTTCACTTATGACACTGAAAACGATGATGTATCTAACTGTTAAGGAAAAAGTCTAAGTGGCAGCAAAATGGTTGGGGTGGATCCAACGGTGCTTTCCCACGGACGCAAGGACTTAAAAACATATCATCCTTGCTGGAACATGCCAGTGGTTCATCTAGTCCAGCATCCCTTCTCAAGCAGTGGGCCAATCAGTTACCCTGGAGGACCAACAACAGGGCACAGAGGCCAAGGCCTTCCCCTGGTGCTGCCTCCTAGCTCTGGGTTTCAGAGGTTGACTGCGTTCGAATGTGGAGGTTCCCTTTACCATGGCTAGGAGCCTCTGATGGACTTATCCTTCTACGTTTATGGCCATCACTGCATCCTCTGACAAGGAATCCTACATTTTAATCACTCACTGGGTAATGTTTCCTTTTGTCCATCCTCAATCTAGGTCTGTTTCATGAATCTTGGAAGGTTAAAGCAGTATACAAACATTTGCTCGGTGCATTAAAAAGAAATCCCTGCAGTGAATCAATGTAGTAGCTCTGCCTCTGTTTCCATTTCTGCTTTGCAAAGATTAAAAGATAATGGGGTGGATCCAATGATGCACTTCAGCATTTCAAGAGGAATGAAACAGGCCTAGTATAGGATTTAGTAAGGGACAGAGAAGACCTGGGGTCACTATCCAGGACACCTGAAAATTTACTGAGGATTAAGTGGGGTGTAGAGAGATGACAAAAAGATTTTTTTTTTCTCCCTCTCCCGAAATACCAGAACCCAAGGGCATCCAATGAAGCTGACAGGCAGTAGGTTCAGGATGGACAAAAGGGAGATATTTCTTTATGCAGAGTGATTAAACTGTGGAATTTGCTGCCAGAGGAATAAACAGCTTTAAAAGGATATTAAATAGATTCACGGAGGGTGGGTCTATCAGTGGCTACTGGCCATGGTGACTGAGGGGAACCTCCACATTCAGAGGCATGAAACCTCTGAATCCCAGAGCCAGGAGGCAACATCAGGGGAAGGCCTCGGCCTCTATACGCCCTGTTGTTGGCCCTCCAGAGGAACTGGTTGGCCACTGTGTGAGACAGGATGCTGGACCAGATGGACTACTGGTGTGATCCTGCAGGACTCTTATTACGTTCTTAAGTGAAAGGCTGGAGGAATACTGATTGTGTCTCCAGTAACCAGTGCAAGGGCCTACCCCAACGCCATTTCACTTGTAAAACCAGAAAATACTATTGTTTTAAAGAATGTTTTCCTATAGAGTTATTAAAGCTACAAAGAGCTTACCTTCTTTCGAAGAGCTAGGAAGATGGCCGCTGCTTGATACACAGGAACTGTAATATGGGCCAGGACCATAAGTTTCGTATGGCTTAAGGATAGTCACAGGATTTATAGCATCTACTTCAGCGCTCATGAGCCCTTGCTTGGCAGGCAGGAAAGAGGGTGCGGGTTTGGTGTGTGCACATTCCTGAGGTAGCAGGTTTGCGTATCTGCCTGCTATATGAATCCTGCCCGAATCGTTTCCTTTCCGATACAGGGCAGAGTCCATTTGTTCCGGAGCCAAGAGATTAGGTCTTGCTCTTTTAGAGGAGGGTCCATCGAACTCCAAGTTTGTATTCCCTTTGGGTCTGTTACTGAGAAACTCTATTCCACGACTACTCGGCCAGGACATTTCATTCACGGAAGACTCAAGAGAGCCATTGATGTTAGTACTCGCTACGCTTAACTGAGAAGCCAAGCATCTTGCTTTAGAGTCCAGCTTTCTACCTCTATCCTGTACCGTGACACTGTTAGGACCAGGGTGCATTTCATGATGTCTGAAGCTATTTACCGAAACACCAACCGCCTGCAGTTTGCACGATTTCAAGTTATTCGGTGCTGAGTTACTGGAGCCGAGCCCTGAAAGAACGGGTGCTTTGCTCTGCATGGCGGGACACTGTTTAACCTTTTCCACATGTGACGACTTTGACTGGGCAGGCAGGGAAGCCTTGGTTTTCACAGGGTGAACAGGCAGGGGGAGCACATCTTTGCCCAAAAGAAAAGGCGGGCATCCGGTGCGTCTAGCCTTAATAGCCGCCCTGTTCCGGACACCATTTTTATTAGAAGTCTCAGGGTTATATTTGTGCGTCAGCCGCTGATGCATTATCAGGACCTCTGGATATAACGTCCGGTAAGTACAAAAAGGGCAGGTGCTGCTTGCTAAAGATCCTCGACAGAGAGAGATCACTGAAGCATCTTGGGACGATCCAGCGGATAAATTTAACGGCTTCTCTTGAGCTACAAGTTTGCATTTCGAGTCTTCGGTGCCATCTCTCAGAAGACCCATGCTTGTTCTACTTTTCGGAGCACTAGCATAAAGCACGCTGTCTTGCAATGCAGAGCTCCTTGTCTCAGGCCTATCAGTCACGTAACTACTCGCCTGAGGCTCCACTGTTTTCTCTTCAGATATCGGCTTTTCAAGGCAGGGCACAGGTGCACCCTCTTTTAAGCCACTACGGCCTGCACCATTGCTTGTGTCCTGAGTTACACTGTTCGATGCGCTCTGGAAGGAAGGAAGGGTCTCCTTCTGCTGCTTTGCAGGTGGGCTTCCTCTAGCATCTTTGGCATCTTCAAGGAGCCTTTTCAGATTTTTGGTTTCTGAAGCACCACTGGGGATTGGTACGAAGCCCATCTCCTGAGTAGGTAACAAATCTTTATGGTCGTTTTTCACATCGGCCGCCACATCTGCATTCTTGTCCTTGTGATGTCTCTCCAAGTGATACCGCAGAGATGTCTTCTGGGCTGCTGCATACTCACAAAATTCACATTTGTATGGTTTTTCACCTGGAAGAGTTGTGAATCGGGAGTCAGAACGACCATTTCCCCTTTTTACAGGAATACTAAACGTTCTGAAATCCTACTCTTTTGGCTCTTCCTCTTCTCACTCCCAGCCCAGAGCCTCCCTGTTACCAGACAAACTCCAAGACTTGTGTGAGCAGGCCTCACAAACTGCACTGAGGTATGTTTCCAGCCGCAGAGCAAAGTAAGACGACACACGCCAAGGGGTTTCTCCGCACACTCATAAACCGGCTTTGAGGGCATCCAAGACCTTCAAGGCCTAGTAAGACACAGAAAGTGGCAAAGCAACTCAACGGCTGCCGCCTTCTTCCACGGGCTAAACATCTTAGAGCCATTTGCCCACAGGGCAAACGCCCTGAACTCTGGCATCAAATCTAATGTGCAATGGCCTCTCTCATGTATGCCAACTTTCAAACACTAAACTAGTGCTAAAACAGACTGGTCAAGCATTCCAGAAGCTTGGGAAGAGATTCAAGATTGCCTTTAACTTCACAGTATTCATCACTTAATTCTAACATCATTTCATGTTTTCCAAAGAGCTGTATTGCAAGTCTGAGCACTTGAGGTTAGCAACAGTGTAGTCAACTGTCACCTTATGCAGGGTTGCCAGGCCCTGCCCCACTCCCTGGCAGGGGACTTTGGGGGGCTCTCCTGGAGGGGGTGGGGATGTCCGCAATGTGATGATGTCATCACATTGGGGGTGCAGCCCCACGGAAGGTGCCCTTGATGCCAGCTTGCAAGAACCATTTAAAGGGAACCATTTAAAAGCGGGGGCCTGAACGCCAAGGGTACTTTCAAATGCTTTCTGAGAGTGGGGGGTCATGTGCGCCTGAACTCCAAGTGGCAGATTCGCCGCTTGGAGTGTGGCCAGCGGCTGGCCCCTCCCTCCCCTCCTGCAAGATTTGAAGGGCCCTCCAGCTGATCGACGGGCCACATGGATGGCCCTTTAAATCTCTCATGAGGGGAAGGGATAGGGGTGGCCATGGGTGGTTGCTGTTGGGGGCGGGGCTTCCCCCACTGGCTAGCTGGCCAGCAGGAGCCCCCAAAATCAGCGAGCTCCCACCCCCACCAGGGGACTGACATCCCTAACCTTATCGATCTATCACAGCTACTGAGAGAGGACCATCACGTCTCCTCAACATGCAACCAGCTATTTCCTGAACGCACAACAGCTCGCCAAGCAAGCTTACTCGCTTCACAGTGGCATTCGGACTCTCAACTGTTAAAGCCAGCTTGGTTTTCCTTACCTGTGTGAGTTCTGAGATGAATGTTGAGGTAATAGTTTGAGCGGAAATACTTCCCGCAGTAGCTGCATTCTCTGGAGGCCCCGAGGTTTTTAACTTTTGCTCTTTCCATGCTATCGCCATTTTTATCTTGAAATGGGTAAGAAGAAAAAAACACACACAAAACATTATGATGTACAAACATGAATACAAGATCTGTGCATGTTTAGCACGCATACTTTAACTTTTGCTCTTTCCATGCTATCGCCGTTTTTATCTTGAAATGGGTAAGAAAGAAAAACACACACACAAAACATTATGATGTACAAGCATGAATGCAAGATCTGTGCATGTTTAGCACGCATATTGGAACAATTAGGGTTGCCAGCCTCCAGGTGGGACCTGGGGATTCCCTGGAATTACAGCTCATCTCCAGAGTATAGAGATCAGTTCCCCTGGAGAAAATGGATGCTTTGGGGGGGTGGACTCTGTGGCACTGTACCCCACTGGTGTCCCTGTCCTCCCCAGGTTCACTCCTCAAGTCTCCAGGAGTTTCCTAACCTGGATCTGGCAACTCTAGCCCCCGTCCCCCGCCGGCGGCCAGGGGGGACCTGACAACCCTACCTCCAGGCTATACAGATCAGTTCCCCGGGGGGGGGGATGGCTCTTTTGGAAGGTGTTTCTTCCCTGGAGAAAATGGCTTTTTTCGTATGGCATCACATCTCTATTGAGTACCCTCCCCAAACTCCATGCTCCCTAGGCTCCACCCCCAAAACCTCCAAGACTTTCCCAACCTGGAGCCGGCAACCCTAGGCACAATATATTTAAACATTTATATCCCGCCTTTCCGCTTATTTCAAGGTGGCCTACGGTATTGTACTATGGCTAAAGAACCCTCACTAAATACACTCTCACACTCTATACATTACATATCACTGCAGATCTGCTAAGATAAAATTATAAGTGTTTGGGGATGGTTTGCCCACAGATATCACCTATTTTTATCCAGCTTATCCCGGAAAGACAGATCCTACAGCAGATATGTACTGGGCAGCGTTTTAGGTGGAACTGTTTACGTGGGTGGAGGCGGGACATTAATTCCTAGCTGTGACAACAAATATTTTAAATAAATAAGCTTTGACAATAGAATTATGGACAATGCAAAATGAAAAACTAGGCTTCTACATGCTCCAGGTGTAATACAACACACTGGACAAAGTACAAGATTCACCCCCCCTTGCCTTTGTGTAATGAGTCATTAACCATCCCAAAGGCAAATATTTTCCTTCATTTACAAAAAGGGGTGTTTACAATATTTAAGGCAGTTAATAAATGCAATGTGGGTGTGAGATACCTACATATTTAGTTTCCTTATACTATGTAAATCACCATTTTGGAACAGAAATATTCCTCTCCCTTTTTAAAAAAGTTGTTTGAATGTGGGAAAAAAACAGTTCACCCTATCTGATGCATGATTTTCTGTGAAGCAAGAGAATATAAATTTGGGGAAGACAAACATTCACTACCAGAGGGTGTTTAGCTGTCCATAAGTCTACTGTGGCTCTACTTCAGCTATACTTCATTTTTATATCCCCCTTTTCTCCTGAAGAGTCGGATCCTGAAGAGGACCCAAAGTCTTTCTCCCCTTTGAATTTAAGGATGGTCCGGGCTAGCCTGATCCTGTCAGATCTCAGAAACTAAGTAGAGTCGGCCCCGGTTAGTGTTTGGAGGAGAGGCCACCAAGAAATCCCAAGGTGGCTATGCAGAGGCCATGATGGCACACCACTTCTGTTAGCCTCTTGCCCCAAAAACCCTGCCAGCTGCAACTTGATGGCACTTTCCACCACCACCAATAGGGTTGCCAGGTGTCCGTCCCCCCCACCCCCGGCCACTGGCACAGGATGAGGGGATAGAGTTGCCAGATCCAGGCTGGGAAACTCCTGGAGATTTGGGGATGGAGCCTGGGGAGGACAGGGAACCCAGTGGGGAACAATGCCATAGAATCCCCTCTCCAAAGCGTCCCTTTTTCCCAGGGGAACTGATGTCTGCAGTCTGAAGAGGAGGTGTAATTCTGGGGGATTCCCAGGTCCCACCTGAGGCTGGCATCCCTAACACCCAGGCTCAGACATCCCCAACCACCTCCGGCCCACCACCGTCCTTAGTACCAATCCAGGGGGCAGGAACCCGCCAGCTGCCTCCTTGCCTCAGCCTCATTCTTGTCTTTGTGGAACTCTGCAGACAAGTCCCTCCCTAGAAAGACTCCTATGCCCAGCTTTTCCCTGCCCCTTTCAAAGGTACATGGGAAGGGAAGGCTCTCCCATGTGCAGAGGTTATCTTTACCCATGAACAAACACTGGAGCAGGTTAATGGAATCTCAATAAAGCCCAGTGAACAATAATCAGGGGTGCATAAATGTAGCAGAGGCCTTCACACTGGCCAGTGAGCTAGTGTGCTAGTACCTAGGCTGGGTGGGCACGGTGTGACCTAGGCTATGTGGGGCTACTGCTGTGTCTTTTGCTTTTCTAGCAGCACAAGGAGCGGTGCCTTCCTGTTTCTGTGGGAGTCCTTTTACGGCTGTAGCTGAACTCTGCTAAAGAGGAGGGAACTAATGTGGTCTGGTGCGGGGTGGGGGGGAGAGAGCCTCAGACGGCACTCTGCGTCCCGCATTTGAGCTGACCCCTGCCAGTGTTTCCGTTAAGAGTCTGGGGGTTATACTGGACCCAGCATTACCGCTGGAGAAGCATGTTGCTGCAGCTGCAAAGAAATGCTCTCTTTCGTCTTAATCCAGAGGACGGCTCCCAACCTTGACCCGGCTGGTCTGGCCATCATGATTCATACCACAGTAACCTCGAGGCTAGACTGTTGTAACGTGCTCTGCATGAGCCTGTTCTGGAAGACAACTCCAGCTAGTATAGAAAGCCACAGATCGTTTACTATCAGGAGCTAGAAGAAGTGTTCATATTACACCTAGTCTACCATTGCTATATTGATCACTGGATTGAATGCAAGGTGCTGGTTATTGACTAGTGCCATTCATGGCTTAGGACCCACATATCTCCAGGACTGCCTCTCTGAACTCTGACAAGACAACTCTGCTCATCTGAGCAAGGCCTTCTGAATGTGCGGCCCTGCACAGGGGTAAGAGCGACAGCTGCCTGGGCCTCTGCTGTGGCTCCCACCTGGTCAAATGGCCTGCCTGACAAAGTTGAGAAAGCCCCCACACCTCTGGGCTTTCTTATAAAGGAAACGGGGGGAGTGGCAAAAAAAAAAAAAGAACTGTGCAGGAGGGCACTTTCTGACAAAGGTAACAGGTTAGCAATTCTTAATCTGCCTGTAAAATTTTTAGGCAGCTCTCTTTTGCCTCCTCATTGATATTTAATTATACCCTTTTTATTTCATTGTCCCTTAATTGTGCAGTCTAGTCTTATTGCATTGTACGTACTATATGGATCCTTATTGCCCTGTTTCATAATTATGTAATATGCCTTGAGTCTCAGCATGAAAAACAGATGATAAATCAATAAATTTATTTTGTGGTTCTGCAGAATTAGGCTCTTCTCCTAGTATCTGGTCTTATTCTGCTTAGTCAGCCAGTGCAGCAATTCACATTAATTTGTTAAAGTTAGTTCAGTGCATATAACTTCAGTTCAGAATACGGTTTCTAGCAGATGCACTTTGCATTCACTTTTTATTTCTTCTGCCGATTGGCAGAAAAGGGACCCGCTACCCTGCTAGCTGCCACTGTTCGAGCCAGCCAAAAACTTGAGGGAACAAAGAAATGTTTTCCCTTTCACTTACGTGTAAATGCCAAGATTTGCCACTAGAGGGTAGCAAGCACAGCATTTTGCTCAGCCAGGGCATTTCAGGTTGTTACCAGCTGCACCGCAGAGGAAACTAATCCTCAGTCTGTTTACCAGGAGGGAAGGCTGTAATCAGCAATTGTGGGGGGGGGGTGGAGACTTGGGCAGAAGACACACCAACTGGAGGTTACATAATTTTTTCCCAAATGCAGAAGTTTGGCCTTCTTAAAATTCATCATAACTACAAGATAGCCGCAGCTGAGGTGGCAAGTTTCTGTATTTATAACTTCCGATACACCTGATGCTCGCACCATTGCTTATGGCAGGCTTAGCAGAACTACCACCAGCTGAGAGAGAAACAATTTTGTTGCAAAGCCACAAACACCAACACGATGCCTCTTGCTCCACAGCACCAGCCGAAATGGCAGGTTGCTGGAAACAGTGCAATAATGCATCCCTGAACATGCTGTACGTTCTGTGTCTGTGTTGGAGATGATGCAAGCATCCTTCCCTTACATGCAGATACAAGGGAGAAATTATGCCATGCCTTTTAAAAGATGTTGAAATGATGCGCAGGGACAAGAATGCCAGGTATCCGCTCTCCCCTTATCACACACACGCAGACGCAGAGTTCAGACGTAAAACAAAGCCACTGTTTATTTTATGTACAAGTAAGTTTGTGAAGCTGGGATTCAGACTGCAAATGGACATTCACATCCTGGCTGGCTTCAACAAATGCCGGTCCCCTCAGCTTCACTCTCCCACCCTCCACAAGACAACCAGCCGGCGCCCTGGGGAGCAAGGGAGGCATTTTGCCCGGAAGAAGCCTCAACATCTACGTTGGCACAGCAAGGGAAACCACAGTTAAGCTGCAGTTTTCAGACCAGTTTTTCCACTGGTGAAAAAGGACGGAAAGGGTCGTCCCCCCCCACCCCACTGCCCAAACTATCTTTAGGGTCACGAGACCAGCCAGAACAAAAGCCATGTGGGACAGAGACTGTATCAAGGATGGGAATGGGCTGAGACACAGAGTAAAAAAAAGCTGGCTGGATCCAACCCAGTCGTCTTAGCATAATGTGCTTCTCAACAAACCCACTGGTGAATAGATCTTAGTAGTACTCACCTAAAGCCTCTGCTAGTCCATCCTCAGAGCCGTCTTCGGAGCCACCCTCTGCCCGCTCGGCTACTCCGTTCTCATCCAGAGGCACCACATCTGCGAGACACGGTCTTGGTTGCTTCGCTTCGGCGGAACCGGTTTCCGGGTCATTCCTTCGGTCTCTCTTGTGTACTCTCGAGTGAAGGACTAGCTGGTGGTATGTTCGAAATACTTTGCCACACTGCGCACAATGTGTGGGCTTGTCTTTGTTCTGGGACAGTTTAGGATCCATGTCTACAGAAGGCACTTCGCTGCCAGGATATTTGAATTTGTCTTGTGGCACATTCCCAAGCCCTGCGTAACTTCCACTTCTGCTTGTCTTCGTCCTCCCCGCACTTTCAGCCTGGCTTGCTTTGCTTGCATGCCAGATTTCCCCAAGCTCTTCTTTATCAGAAGATGACTCGTCATTGTCTGTACTTCCTTCTTGCCCCGGTTCTTTTATTTGTCCGTGGCCAATCGCTATTTTGCCTTTGGTGGCCAATTGCCATGCCTGATATGTACTGAATGGATCCAATTCTGCGATACATTTCCCAGGTTTTTCTAGTTTGCTGTTGCTTGAAGGCAAACGTGGTTTTAAGTTTAAGAACTGCAGGAACTCTTCTCTGGGTGATCGACTTCCTTGGCCACCTCCATCAGCCTGTGAGCCATCACCGCTGGCTGAGGAATCTTTGGTATGAACTTTACTGTGCTCAATGAGAGTCTCCTTGTTTTGAAATAGGAAGCCACAAACCATGCAGATTTTATAGGGAGACGTAATGCTTTCGGATACTTGGTCTTGTACGACTTCGTTTATGGTGACCGGGCTCTCGGAACCTTGCGCGGTCTTGCTTCGAGAGCCGGGCTTCCCGGTGTGCGTTCTCATGTGATTCTTGAGGAACCAAGGCTCTTTAAATCTCCTTCCGCACACGCTGCACCAGTAAGTGAAGGAGTCTTTATGCTTCCTCATGTGGGCCTCGACATCAAACACCTCCTCAAACATCTGCCCACAGACTTCACAGCTGAAGCCCTGGTCATCTTTTTGGTTGACATCCGATGACGGCGAGTCCGTTTTCGCTTGTCCTCTGTCAAGATGGCTGAGGTATTCCGCTTCGACGCGCAGGACCGCCGGTTCACAAAGGGTTGGCCTGTGCTGCGTTAAGACGTGCTTGCCGAGATCCTCGGGGTGCTTGAAGGTTTGGTCGCAAAACATGCAATCCATAGGCGTGCACCCTTCGCCCTGCATCAAGAACTTTTCCTGCAAGTGTTTGTAAGAGATCGTGTTGGTCCCTTTTATCAGCATAGTGGCATCGTTGTTCTCCATACGTGAGCCAACAGTACAGGCTATACCATCTGGCCCATCCATATATGCTAAGAGAGGCTGAGTCGGCATATTTCCTGCCTTGGTGTTAATGTGAATTTCTGAGGTCTTGTGTTGGAAGACTTTCAACAAGTTCCCAATTCCCAACGGTTTGCTTGCAAATGTCCAAGTCCAGCCACCTACTTCAAGAGCAATTAAACATTGCCTCTCCGCTCTAGGTCCAGCTCTTGATGTGCAATACAAACTATTCATAAAAGCATTCATCAGTTCTCCTAGTAGAGGTATAGGAACACTTAATGTTATTATTCTAGCTTTTTGTTTTTAATTTGCCTTCTGCCAAACAAATCCACTTATATCTCCAAGTGTAATACTTCAGATCTTCTTGAGGCCAAGAAAGCAGGGAAACAGCTCAGGAACACCAAGAAATCCACCCTCTGTGCAGAAAACAAAAACAAACCCTGCAATTAGCTAAGGAAGCCCAAACAGATTTCATTAAACACTTACTCCTCAAATTAAATATTTCATAGGCTTTCAGATAAAGTCTGTAGAAGTAATCTGATGTTACAATAAAATGAACAGGCAGGCTTCCTTTAAATTCTTCCAAAATCTCATAGTTCCCCCCCCCAAAAAAAATCTTACTTTCTAGATTGCTGGAGGAGGGTGCATTTGTTCAGCCACTTCTTTTAAAAGATCGTCATAAACAAGATATTCCTATGTTTCAGGTGGTACAGCATGACTCTGAATTTGAAATTTCACAGCATTGCTTAAATGATGCAACTATCAAAGGAAGTTACTAATTTCTGCAAGGAAACTGCCCTGGAGAATTACTGTAAAACTCAGATTATTGTTTTTTTTTTAATATTCACACAGGCAAGAAAGTGCCCCAGTGAGTGGAATCTTACTAATTTATTATTAGATACCCTCCACATAGCAATCTACATTTGGATACTGACTGGGAGAATAAGCTGACTCAAAAATTCTATTCCTTTAAGAAGGTACTGTCATCTTATTTAAAAATAAAGGTTTCCCTTGCTCGAAAGCACAATTTGGGTTGCTTTATGCAAGATCTTCCCCCACTCAAGTTTTCAACAGGACTTTACCCACACTTAACAGGTACTTACTCATGACAATATGTAATGCCTACTGTGGGCCATGCCCATCCGGCAGCCATTTTGAAGCTCTGTTGCTAGCTAAATGTCAGCTGGCTCTGAAAATGGCATTTCTACACTTTTGATTACTCAACAGCACACCAGCAACGAGCCTATCAGATAAGAGACACCAACACTAATGCCTGAATCAGCCCTAATACAATACATGACTGCATGAGCTGTTGTGGATACTCACAATGGAGCACACAGACATGTTTTTAAAACTCAAGAATATGTGAAGGATAAGCAACAACATCCGAGACAGTGTTACTTGCAATGGCCCATCAGAACTGGTTAACCAACATAGGACTGGTGCACAGTCTTTCCAGACAGAAATGGAAAAGCATAAAAATAACTACATGCGAGACATAACAACAGCACATATAAGACCCTTCTGGAATGTAATCGTTTTTGTATTGGCCCATCAGAACTGGTTAACCGTTAACACACAGTAAAACATTTCTGTTAAGCTGTACTGCTAATTTAATGCGGCTACAATATAGCAGTTTCTTTGCCTAATAAAGTTATTAACCTGGGGAGGGGGGGGAGAGAACTGGTTAACCAATATAGTAATGGTGCACAATTTCCCCAGACATAAATAGAAATGCATAAAAACAATCAAATGCAAGACATATCAATAGCATATATAAGACACTTCTGGAGCGTGATCTTCACACCCTTCCTCAAAGTAGGTCAGTATTATCATTTCTAGATTGCAGAGGGGAGGGGAGCAGAAACTACACCCTTCTAAGCCCATTAACATCAAGGGTGTAACACCGCTTAGGATAGTAACACTAGTGAGTTCACGGAACAGGGAAGAGTCAACCTGGAGACTTCCTGAACTTTAGCTTACTCTTAGCTACCATATTGCACTGGGCCTCACCAACATGTGGTCTCCCACAAGCACAAACCTGGCCTTCTTGCTTGCAATGATATCCAGGTTTAGCTTTCTGTTTCCATTCCAGCCTGGAAAAGACTTTTGTGATTCTCGAGAACCAGCCAATGTATCTGGCCCAATAAGACATCATCTTTTGAAACGTGTGGAATGCATTTTTTTTAATTGTCTCTCAGCTGTATACAATGCACTCATTCAGCTCCTGCATTTTCATCTTGATTCTTAACCCTCTAGGCAACACAGCAGCCACTGTAGAATACAATAGCTTACGTAGTTGCCAAGTTGTATTATTTGAGCCACTATCTAAATGGAATGTTGCCTCCACCTCAGATGTGACGGCGACTTCTGCCTCTTTTGGAAAGGGCAACATTCTAACTGTAGTGGTAATAAGGTTTATTGCGTATGGCCAAGGGTTGTTACGATCTTAAGTAAAATTAAAAATACATAAAACAACAAGAGGACAACAATACAAGCAGATTAGGGGGAGAAATTAATAAGGAACAAAGAAATAGCCCGGCTCCAAATCACAAATCAGGCTGCCACAAATTTGGCCCCAAGCACGACTTTAGCTCAGATTTTCTTAGCAGCCAATGCAAACAGTGAAACCATACAAGTGATTCACCCATCTGTATCGACTAGACTGAAAACAATTATCTCTGCTGCTGGCTAAGGCTCTGGCAAGAAATTTAGATCTGGGCTCCCTATAGAGAGGGTAGAACAAAACACAGTGAGGAAGGTCCTCCACGTCTAGGCCTCAACAAGGACAAAGGCGATACACAAGAAGTTTCAGGTACAACAACCGGTTAACATGGCTGTTGGCATAATTTGGAAGCAGATGGCTGTGCAATGTTCTAACTGTTCACAGCCACTTACTGTCAATGGTTGCCTGGATCACCTGATGCAGGCACATGGCTGAGGGCTGGCGTGACCAGTGGCTAGCACAGTGTAGGAACAAGGTACAAACTCTTGTTCACAAATTATACTAGTTGACTCAAGGCACACCGTCACTCTTCAGCTTGGGTAGTGGTAAACACTGAGCTCTTGGTGAAGTTTACTGTCCTGTTACACCCAAGAGAGTCATAGGGTAGACACAAGGCTCCTGGTTGCTTGACCAAGAGAGTTGCCTGCACATTCTCCACCTCATGGAAAATAAATCTCCCCACTCTCATTAGGCCCAAAAAGCATCCACATTAATCAGAGTTAAAAGCAAACTGGACTTCCCACTTAACTCAGTTGTGAAATTATCATTAACCATCCACAGTACTAAACAGCAATACATTTCTGCTAAATTCTACAAGATAGATGCATGTTCTGAATTTGGGAAGGGAGTGAAATTTTAAAAGTACAAAATGATTACAAAGTTTCAAAAAATACATAAGGAGAAAAACCATCACTAAACTTACTGTTCCATGACATTATAAACAAAGCCCATCGTTCCATTAATTTAACAGCCCTTACATCTCCTTGGTTTGTAAGTCTAATGTCAGTTTATACATGAGAGCAATTTTCCATACTCTCATAATCCAGTCATTAATATGAGAGACCACAGAGGATTTCCAACAGAACATTACAGTCTTGCAGCAAATAACAAGCTCATTATAAGCTCCCTATTTAATCTTCCAAAGATTTACCTTTCTTTGCTTTTAGTCCTGTATACCATAATACATGTGGGACACTATTTACATACAGTTTTACCATGCAGAATTCATTCTAAACCTAAGTTGATACCAACAAATACCTGATGCAACTTAAATTCCTAGGGGCTTAAGCACAGAAGTATTACAGAAGTAGGAAACCAAACAGCCTGAAGTTTTCAGAGGAATCATAGGGATACAGGATTCCAGTTCTCTTCAGTGCCATTTGAATGTACAGTTTCTTTGAACTCCTTTATAAATCCTAGACTAGATCAGATTTCCCAACTGCTAGGACACATGTTATATTCAGAACTTCCAATTCTTCAGCAAAACACACACACACACACACAAAGTCATACTGACTATTTAAACCCATTAAAAAACAGATTGGAATGTCAAAAATCAGCATGTGTGGGTATACACAGACGAAACCCATTAGTAGATCACACGGCTTTATTTTACACAGATGACAATTCTTTAAGGCGAAGATATGAAGAATGAAATCATCAGACAGCTACCCTAGGCTTTCCCTCCATACTTCAAGACAGGAAGTTTTTAGGAGCAGAAACTGAGCTATATATATGGAGTGACATGCATCACAGACTCTATTGAAAATTGAGGCTGGGTAACAGGACATCAAATTTGCTTTAGCTCAATTCAAATAAATAGTAACGGTTACTCTGTTTTAAAAAGAGATAATGGGTCAGATACATGGTAACAGGTATTTTCCCCAAAGACAAATAAGTGGGTTCTAGAGCAAATCAAGCCTGAATTCTCCCTAGAAGTGGAAATGACTAACTGAGGCTATCCTCTTCTCATGGTGTGACCAAAGTACAAGATTCACTGGAAGGAAGGAAGGAGATTGGCTTTATACCCCACCCTTCACTCGAAGCAGTTTACAATCTCCTTTCCTTCCCCTCCCCACAACAGACACCCTGAGGTATGGGGGTGAGAGAGCTCTTTTGAGGACTGCTCTTGAGACAACAGCTCTGAGAGAACATGTGACTGACCCAAGGTCACACCAGCAGCTGCATGGGGAGAAGTGGGGAATCAAACCTGGTTCTCCCAGATTAGAGTCTGCACTCTTAACCACTACACCAAACTGGAAAAAAATACAAATACAGTAATGCTAGGAACAGTTGAAGGCAATGGGAAAAGAGGAAGACAAAACACGACATGGGTTAACTCTATAAAGAAAGCCACAGCCCTCAGTTTGCAAGACCTAAGCAAGGCTGCTAATGATAAGGCTGTTCTGGAGGACTTCAATTCATAGTGTTGCCATAAGCTGGAAGCAACTTGATGGCACATCACACACACACAAAACCACACACACAGAGACACACACACACACAGAGCCCATTATTCCACATAAGATTTATACAGCCAGGCACTCTAAATTCTG